AAAGGCGCTCCATTTGGTGTCATCAGATTGAGTTTCCTCCCCAAGCGACAGCTTGAGTGTCAGTAGAAGTGGGGTGATTCCGTGCAGGTGGGGATCCTGAGTAGCGATACAGATGACTGGGGAGTACGGACAGCAGGCGACTTCACTAGTGGTGAACACCGTGGGGGGTAGAGGAGAACACACTGTGGCATCCCTTCCACCCAGCACCATGCAGAATCAAAAGCAAAGGGGACCAAATCAGAGACTCGGACAGTCCTTTTCCTGACCACTACCTCCACTAACTGAAAGGCGGACCTTCGGTTTTCGTAATGCGAACAACAGGGTTGATCAGCTGTGCAGGATCACGTCTTTGGAGACAAGCTGCACAGACAACATTGTCATGATCTGCCTTTTGAGAAATTACTAGGTTAAAGGTTCATGGGATGCTAATATTGAGACAATCCATGCTTTTTCACATAAACATTTGGACTTCATGTCTCTAGTTTCAATATTTTGTTCACAGGGATGTCTGAGTCACTTCCTCACATCCTTCCTCCCTTCATCCACCTATGAAATGAAGACTTTCTATATCAGATGCCAACTTCCTAAAGAAAACATAGAAACCAAAGGCAAAAATCCAGTGATCGTGCAGCAGCCACATTAATATGCCATAAAGCATCTGGAAACTTGTGTGGACCCCCTGGAGGTCTACCACGTGACATCCTCGGTGTAGCACAAAGAAATTTATTTTGTTTCTCTTCCGGCTTTCTAAATAACGCCCTGGCTCCGAGCAGAAGGACTCCAATTGCATGACAGGCTGGAGGACGGTTTACCTGAAGCTCCTTTACTTAACAACACATTGCTTAGAACAGAACATACCTGCCAATACCACTACTGTGTTTCACTAACATTTCTACTGCAGGAGAAAGAAGCCATCTTATTAAAAGTTTCCCTTTTTGTATGAAAAGAAATTATTTTAAAAACTGCTGTTGGAAATCAACTCATTCTGAATCACCTTTTTAAATGAAATTTTGTGCTAGAGACAAAATAGAAAATCACAGCTTTACTTTATCTGACACCACCCATGAGAACTGCTTCATGCACAGAAGTATTCTTTTTTTCCCATCCGCCAGCAGCATTGGAAAAAAAAAAAAAAATTAAAGAACAGGCGCTGGCAACACTCTTCAATATTGTTGTCTAATTAAATGGCAATGGAGTGGATGCATGAAAATATGCATTAGAGGTGTGTAATGTGTAATGTGAAGAAGAGTAATCAAAACCATTCAGCAGGATTGAGGAAGGAATTTCAGCTGGCAGCTTACCAGACAGGAGCATATAATTTTGCTAATTCGAAATAGGTATTGTAACATATACACATTACTGCTTTGCATATTTTAATGAAAACTGCCTCTACACCAAAATGAATCCTTTAGCTTGAACTCTCTGCATACCACAGAGCTTCTACCTAGTATGAGTTCAGCATAAATAAGGCACAAAAGCTGCATTAAAAGAATGGTCACCTCATTAAAATAGGTTAAAACTAAGCCCCTTATTCTAAGCTACTATAACACCATAAAGTAAGTCTGATGGCAGGTGTTGTATTAAATTTTTCTATTGCAATGAACTTGTACTCACACAAACCAAATCTGCATGTTTCCTTTGATATACACCTGCAACTTGTTAATTCAAGGGCCTTTATTAAGAAAGTATAAATTTAGCAACATCTATAGATTTGTAAAACCCTATTAGCTCGCTCAAGAACCTAGAGTAAGTTCATTTGGAATCTTATTTGCATGGTTTATAAAGAAATGGAAACTGATGATGCCTTTTCCCAAGTGGATGTTCCTGCAGATAATACAGTTTTGCAAACAAATCTATGAGGATTACCTAGACTTGGGAAAAGAGTTGAGAGAGATCTGGGTCCCATCTGCAGCTGAGGACATCACTTACCGGCCAGCTTGCTTCTCGCTGAAGTCCTTTTTTCCAGTCTTCATCCAGCCTGGGGGAGGTCTCATCCATTGCTGGTGCTGCTTCCGCAAACTGGATTCGCCACTCGCTGTTACTCTCTGTCCTTGCAAGCCTTTACCAAAGCAGCAGCGAGAGCAGGTCGGGGGCAGACTGTCATGGAGAAAATGCCATGCCAGAGGATGAGGGGTTGGGCATGAAGAATACACATGGGAACATATTTGGGATACATGGGGCTACTCGGACAGCTGTTAACTGGCCAGGCTGGGAGCCAGCTTAATCACTGAGAGTCCAGAGATTAAGAACAACCAAGCTCCAGGGCCAGTGGACAATAGGTGATTCTTGTGATTCTGGCCAGAGAAGGGAAGTGTGAAGGCATGCTCTAGAAATATGCATTGTTATGGTACTCCCACCTTCTCCTTGCCCTGACACACACACACACACACACACACACACAGAATATGCATTATTCTGCAGGGTTTCATCAAGTGTTTGGGGTATCCTGAAAGAAAGAAGCTACTTTACATAGAAGCAGCATATTTTATTTGAATACTTTTCCCCCTAAAAGCACCATATCTATTGCTCAGCAACCAATCAACACAAATACTAGCAAGCTCCTCTTGGTGAAAATAGACTCATCCCCATAGTTGAATCCTGAAGCGTCTATATACAGTCGATGGTTTCCTCTCTGTAAGACATTCTGAAGGCAGGCACTTGAACCTGACCATGGACCTCAGTCCCTTTGCCAAACTATTATTCAAAATGACCAGAGGCTTCAGTTTGGGTGGACTTCTCAAAATCCAGGGACCAACCAAGCCAAACTCAATGTTCGCTCATCGTCATGGTAACAACCAAACTCCATTCTGCTCCATTTCCATTTCTCACACAGAGTGAGTCGGGCCCCTGCTGTTCAGAATCAATCACCTATAGTTTTAGCTGTGCAGCCAGGCTACTTACTGTCAATGACACCTACTCCTTTTCAGTTAGAACAGTGCTTCTCAAACTTGGCTGCACAATAGAATCACCCAGGAAGCATTGTAAAAAATATTACCTAGGCCTCACCCTGAGAGATTCTGATTTAATTAGTTTAGAGTGGAGCTCAAGACACTATTTTTGTTTTCGTTTTTTTTTTTTAAAGCTTCCCAGACAATTCTAATGTGCACCCAGGATTAGGATCACAGAACTCAGTGCTGAGTATCATGTAAGGTTTCTCTACTCTAACCACTCATCATATGCTTGAATCCCCATGACACTGACGATAGCCATCCAACAATGCTTAAACCATCTATGACAGTAAACTTGCCACCTCCCAAGACAATCTTCCTCCACGGTTGATATCTTTGTTCCAAAAGGAATTAGTATCTGTCTCCCTGCAACTTCAATCCATGGCTGTACTACTTCTTGATCCCATAAAGAATAAAAATAAAGACTATTCTCTAGGACAAGCCTGCAGATATTCAAAGACAGTAGTCACCCATGTGCTCCATCTTCTATTAAGGGTGTCTCTTTTTCAGGTCAAATATTGCTGGTTCTTTTAGCTTTTCTTCATGTAAAATCATTTCAGGTAATTTCTCCATTCTGATTGCAGGCCTCAAAGTATATTCCACTATCTTTAGAGAGCTCCCGGAAATGACTATGCCATTTCCACTGTGATCTACCATTGCACATGGAGCCAAAGAATCACACACTTTGTTTGAAAACTCTCCACAATAACAATAATAAAAAAAAAGAGCAGCCAATGTTTATATAGCACAGGCCTTAGTGCCGGCACTGAGTTAAGGGCTTTATTAACATTATCTCATTTAACCTTTACAAATATTCTATGAAGTTGTCATTCTGATTGACAGATAAAGAATCTGGGAGGGATGGAAACATTTACCTAGGTGATGGGGTCAAGAGTTAGCCCAGATCTGACTCCAAGATCTGTGTTATTGGTCCCTCCTCCTTGCAAATCAATGCACTTTCTTTGATGTAGTCTCAGGTCCCATTGGCGGGTCTGAATTACACCTCATTGATAGGGCCATACAGTTAATTACTACACTTAGATTTGTTCTCATCTTCAGTTTTTATGTGAACACATTTTAAGGCTATAAATTGCCATACAAACGTATCTTACTCTTTTAATAATCACAAGACTGTACCTTCCACCTCACCTCTAGCAGAGCACACAAATGCAAAACCTTTCCTTTACTTGTTCAGTTCTTCTCTCTTACTGAGAATATCCAGACGCTTCTTCAGAGCTTACCCTGAGGTATAAGAGAGAAAGGCCAGAGCAGCAAGGGTCCAGAGAACTGGTCCAAAGACTAGACTCATTGAAAGCCTCACCAATCACCTGATTCTCTGCACCTCTTCTAAATCCTTATCAACAATATCCCATAAGGAAAACTGGGAGTAATTAGTCTGACCATTTGATTCACGCCATCTGCTAGGTACCTGAACCAGTTCTCATGGAAGGCAATATGTGAAGTGGTTGGTAGCATAATCTTTGAAATCAAACAGACCTAGGTCTGAATAGCAGTTTCATATGTTCTACCTCTATGTCCCTGGGTAGCTGTATGACCCATCTTCTCTGAGCCCTAGTTTCCTCATCCGTAAAAGGGAGGTATTATTGTCTCTGTTAGGCATTACTTTTGTTCATCAATATCCAGTTCCCCTCTGCTTTCAGGCATGCAACAGGATTGCATTTCTTTAACCCTTTTAAGATCATGCAAAACCAAATGACTTGTTTTGGCCAACGAATATGAGCAAAATGATGGGTATCACTCCCCAGCGGGAGGCCTTAATTCCTGGCACTTGACTGTTAGTCTGCTCTTCCTTCTACTCTTCTTTGGTGCAGCAATATTGGAAGCATGTGCTGATACGATGTGCCTAAATATTGAAAAAGAACAATGCTGAGCCAAATCGTGGGCAACAATTGCTGTGGAGAGTCACCTTGACCGACAGCAGGCATTATGTGAACAAAAAAATAAACTTCCAGGGTTATTGGTTACCACAGCATAACACAGCCTAACCTGACAAATACGCAGTCCTTACCATACAAAGTCATTGCAAAAGTAAAATGAAATTATCTAGAGTACTTATTACAAGTATAGGGTAAGCCTGCAAAACTATTTCCAACAGATTCTATTACAAGACCAATCTGCTCTAGCATGTCTCTCATACTCCACTATTTCCTCTTTCTTCTATCGCCTTGATTTTTTTTTTCCTTTTCTTTTCCCTGTGTATAAGATAGCAGCATTAAGTGTGACAATTTCTATAGGTGATACTGAAATATGAATTTATAAAAGGAAAGAGTAGAAGTGTTCAATAATGCAGTGTCATTCTTTCTCAGAATGCAAGCTCAGAATAGCATGACTTTAATGCTACTTATCACTTAGCAAGCAAATTAATGAGAGCAAAATGAAGCATCAAATAATAAATGTAGCCCAGTCGGAATTCACTACAGACAAAACAAAATACGTGTCTCCAAATTGTAAGCATAACGAGAACATACAAGAATGCAGGAGTTTATCAAATAGCAGTGTTTTTATTGACGATTTTTAAATCAAGCAATCAAGAAAGAATCCGTTTGGTTTCTGTCTTTGTTATTTTTTCTTTTCTATTAAAGGAAGGTTCCACTTTGAAAATAAGGTGGAAGGAAAGTATGGATTACACGCTGCCCGGATCACAACACTGACATTCCAAGGATGCAAAGTTTTCTTCATTTCAAGCTGTCTTAACGTGACACCAACTTACACCTGCTCAAGGACACCCAGGAGAAGATATTTTTTAATGTTCTTCAAATGCAAGTGCTAATAACTACGCCCTGAATTAAAAATAAAATAAAGTGAAATGCATTGCTAGACGGTAATCTTTAATAGAGGAAACTGAGTACCTCATAAATGCTTTTTATCTACTCTTCCTTGCCTTAGAATAAACAATATACATTCTGGACCCCTCAGCTGGGAGTGTCGGTCTGCAGTAAGGTGGTTAAACTCCCTTGTACCATGTGGAAATTAATATCAAATTCATGCCAAAAAGTGATGCAAAATCTTGCCCTTACCCACTGTTTTTCCCTCAAGATAAGCGGCATATCAAGAATATGCTGACTAATAAGAAATGGAAAGAGTTTTAGAATTTGTAACATTCCTTACGAAAAAGTCAGATATAAAAATAAAAAGGAAAAATCTGTACAAAACATATCAATCAGGCAGCCCTTGATTTTAAGAAAAAAAATATTTTCCATAATAAAAACGCTAATACTTCGTTTTAGGAACCAAGAGATTTGAAAATAAAAGAGTTTTCCCAGTGAATTAAATCATGCATTTCACAGTGTTATATACTGGTGGACTGTGGCCCTGTGACCTAGTGGTATTACACACAGATATTCATTCTAAGGGAGAAAAGGAAAGAAAGCCTAGCAGGGCAGGGGGACATCGATGGAAAGGAGTATAGATCCAGGGAGTCCCGAAGCTTGGAAGAAACTAATGGTCATATGCCTGCTTATAGAATTTTGTACACACACTTGCACTTCATACCTGTGCTAGAATTTTCATGAGTTCCTGCAACTCATTTTATTATACATTTTCACTTAAATCCACTCTCACTGAAATTTTCTGAGACACTAATAGAGCTTTTTTCCCACAAACTTTTACTTCTAATTTTTTTTTTTTTAATTAAAGCTAATAGCCAGCTGCAATAGAGATGATTCCAAACCATGGAAGCCCCATGTGTGTCCAAGTAGAACTGTCTTCCATAGCGTTTTCAATGGCTGATTGTTCGGAAGTAGATTGCCACGCCTTTCTTCCAAGGCACCTATCCTCTAACCTTTTCATTAGCAGTCAAGTGAGCTAACTGTTTGCACCACCCAGGAAGAAGTTAATAGCAAAGTGTTTGTCATCAAGAATTTGCTTCACAAAGTATAATAATGTACCAGATTCACAAAACCGGAGGTGTTTGTACATTTGTACATTAACTTTATAACTAAAACAAACTAACAAAACACCTCAGTCATCAGACTGATAAATCTGAAAGGGTGAACTCGGGTACGATAGTCATTATATTTCAGAAGGGAAAAAAATACAGGATTGACTTCCAGCTCCCTGTTCAACTAGATTAACCCTTGCTTTTCCCTTTGTAAAAGATCCAAGTTGTACTCCAGTGATGCTCATGGT